AAACAGTATGTAATTTGTAACTGATGCCTCAAAATTATGAAGTGATTTATGCCTCCATATTTTGAATTTCTTTGCAAGACTTTTCCCAAAAGTATTTGACTAAGAATCTCCTGTGTATGTATATCACAAGAGGTTTATATTCTACAGAGTTTACCTGTTCTATTGAATAAACTGATAACAGTTTTTATTTGAGAAACAATATTTAGGCTGCAATTGATGTGAAGTTAGTATGTCATGTAGTAAGAATGTACCTTGGATGATGTAGATTACGTGTAAAAAAGACACAAGGATCTTGCTGCCTCAGCCACTTTACGTAGTTTGTCTTCAGAGAAGGTCCTAATTGCCTTTTATGTGTTGTCGTTTGTATTTATCTCAAACTTGTTTCAATATCCAGTCTTCCTTTATCTTTCTCTCGTGCTGTTTTACATATACTTTTTTCGACTCTTTGCATCCACAAATGACTACACAGGTGGCCTTATAAGTGGTTCAGTTTCTGGGATTCAGTGGTCGTCTAGCTTTTGTAAAGGCCTGTCTCACCATTTTGCAACTTCAATTGGATAATAGTGGCCAGCATTGTCATGTTTGGTTGTCAGCCTATGATCTAATAGCCAATAACGGAGTTACCATATTGAGACCATCAAATTGGTTGCATGTACTGCAATCTGTTTCCTCTTTAGTTTAAGTGAGAATTGTTCTAGTTATTTTTCCCAAGTTACTGAAAGTTATATGGATTTGTTTACCTAAGACTTTTGTTTGCTTACAGCATAAAAACCATTTAGGCTCAGGAAAATTGGATCAAATGGCAATTAGACATAGACTGTTGAACTACTTAATTTTTGTGTGTGTGGTCGTCTGTTTGTTGAACATAAAATTACCACACTTTAATATGTGATACAATATCTGAATAGAATGTTGAGGGATTAGAATTCAATCATGGCAAGAGAAGTATTATTTAATTCTTTTGTATCACCATTATGTTATATGTTTTGATAATTAGTCTTGTTCTGTTGCTGGAATTATGAGATTTACTGTTTGGATTTACCCGAATTCATTGGTGTTAGTTAGTGAATTTCCTTATAGTAGGATATTTGGGATGCAGACCTTATCAGTGTTTTGGATATTTTGATAAATCTCAAGCCTTGTTTTATATTTGTTATGTCACATGATATTTTGTTAGTCCTCAAGAAATTAAATTGTAATAGTGTTCTCATTCGTTCTTACTATAGCCTTCAATCTTGCTTAAGATAGTAGTTTACTTTGGATATCTAAAATTTTACTTGGTGGAGATTCATTGTGATTCGACCAGATCAAATACCCTTTGTTGAATCCGGTGATTACGTGGCCTATGATAACGAGAAAGGTGGAGTCATTCAGAAATTGAAGGAAGATGGCATTATTGATTTGGACTCTGGGATCAGCGGTGTACCCGAATGGGTGTCTGTAAGGGCGATGGTTGAGTCGTGGCTTGCAGATGCAGCGATGTATGAGCTCTGGTTGGGGTCTGAGGTTAAGTCAGCTCAGAAGATCTATTACTCTGACCTCCCTTGGCCAATAGGGAAATTTCTGTACCATAAGCAAGTTCGTGTTGTGAGACAATATCTTGGGATCACGCCAGAAAATGCAGAAAGAAGAGAAGAAGAGGTGGCGTTCTTTCACATTTATTTGGTGTTGTTCTTAATCTTATTCTTATTATTATTAATATTAACATTAATAATATCAATATTATGTTTTTATTATTATGTGCGTGCTATTTTCCTCTGTGTATTTTTCTGGTCGAAAAAGTTCTATTGTGATGGGCTTGTTCAGTCCAATTTTTAGGCAATTGTCAGGGCTACACCTTATAATCTATGATATTTAGCTGAACTGCAGCCTGTTTTAATCCCAGCATTTGCATGCCTTGATGATTCAAAAGTGTGAAGTGGCAAATCCATGTCCACAATATCTTGTGTTCACATATACTAAAGCTTATTATGTTGTTTTTTGTGCAGATATACGGCAAAGCAGTCCAGGCTTATGGTGCACTATCATCTTTGTTAGGGGAACAGTCGTTTTTCTTTGAAAGCAGGTGTTTAAGTTTGCTGTATAGACCTTAATTTTGCCGTTTATTTAGATATTTTCGTGTTTTGGATTGGTATAACGTGTTGCCTACATGATAAGCAGGCCAACGAGTTTGGATGCAGCTTTTCTTGGGCATGCGCTCTTTACCCTGCATGCATTACCTGTGAGTACTTTTAATAGGCCAATATAAGGAATATCTATCTCAGATTACATGTTTCAATTTTATCCACAAAACCTGCTGCTGATCCCTTCAAGATATAAGATTCGGCTAAAGGATTCCATCTGAAAACACGTTCCATTACCACAATATTTGAAACCATTTTGGCTGTTTTGTGATTATAAATACGGGAGCATGAACTATAAATGACGAACTTGGTGAAATACTGTGAGCTATTTTTACATCATCGGAGTCTGAAACTGTTGATGACTGTTGGTTGATTGGTGTGGTAAATCAGCGGTATTATAGCAAATCCAAAACTGCTAATTAGTAGTAGATACTGAAAAATGAGATTAACAAGTATGCGATAATTAACTGAAATTAAATTTTCATCCGGGACGTCTGAAACTACAAACCCAAATTCAATTTACTACTTCCTGATATCTTGATTGGGACACACATTTATCATATTATTCAATCATTTTGTTTCATAATTAATGCATTTATAGTTATGCCAAGAAACATCGTTTCTCTTTTGATAAACGTGATAGGAAACATCGGTTCTAAGAAGCAAGCTCTTGGGTCATGCTAATCTCGTTAGTTATGCCGAGAATCTCAACACTGAGTACCTAAATGCAACTTCATCATCCTCATCAGTCCCCAAGACAGATCCCTCATCATCTTCAAGGCGTAGCTCTTCACACTGGAGTAAGACCCTTACAATTGTTTTTATATTTCTTTTAATAATAATATGCATTATCATCTGTATTTTATATTACCTACTGTAAAGGATGTTCAAAGTATAGCTTGCAATCAGCAATCACTATGAAGACTGATTCTGATTTATATGTTGCAATTTATGAAATGTCGAACAATATAGGATCAAAACCTAAGAGCAAACCTAAAAGGGAGAAGACAGAGGATGAAAAGAAGTTCAGAAGGCGGGCCAAATACTTTCTGGCAACTCAACTTGTGGCCGTTCTGATTTTTGTCTCTTTACTTGGTGGGTCTAATGATGCTGATGTGGAGCTTGGGGACGACAATGACGTGGATTACGAGTAGGAATCAACTTGCCATGTAGACATTTTCGGGCTTTCAATGGGAACGATGATGACATTGATTACGAGTAGGAATTGACTTGATGTGCAGGTTTTTTCGGGTTTTCACTGCTTGATTACTTGTTTTGCGCGCTCGAGATTTGAAAGTTCATGCATATATACTAGTCATTGAATATTGGGCCAAACTGTGATTGTGCATCCTGAAGTATGTTGAATGATTGGAGTTGAGGGATGATGCCTTATTTCGCAATTTGGGCAAACATTTGCTTGGCAAATATACTGCTAATTAATAGGGTAAAGGCGGGTCTCGGTCCCAGCATGGAGTAATATTGTTCTCTATCATGTCTGTTTTGCAATTTACATGATGAAAAATTTATAGATTATATGCATGTGAATAGTGCACTCATAAATCTAGTTGAAAATTGAAAAGCTTATACTTGATAAGTTAGCTCATAATTTATGATAGTGGGGGTTCTAGTAGACGATGATTTTGATCATCGACAATGTGAGGACGGGGTGACTGTCGGTGGTGGTGCTTTTGTCGAGGCATTGGATTTTAGAGGCTGAGAACATCTCCCTCTGTGGTCCCGACTGGCGGGGACAGAGGAGATGATCTTTTGGGTTGGGACCCTCTTTGAAAAATAATATAAGTCTTGAGGACTTATCTATAATTTCAAAACCTTAAATATTTACACATTTGTTCGTCGGCAAATATGTGATTCATCAAAAGTTTGATAATTGTACAATAATGATATGTGAAGTGTACTATATTATGTGTTTTGAGTATGCAATAAAAATGCTATTGCATTTCAACGAAATTACATAATTGTCACTGCTTGCACATTTAATAGTTCATGAAGATATGAAAATGTGAAGTGCGCTATAGAATGGTACATGAATGTACATTAATGTATGTGAAAATGCACAATAACATACCAATGTATTTTGCGAAATGACAAAGATGACTCCGCGTGAAAAATCAAAAGTACTCATAATTACAGGAATACTATTGTAAAAGTTTGATCGGACCTGGAGCATTGACACATCACATGAAACGGTTAAAATTCATTCTTTTCTTTTCTTTTCTTTTTTTTTTTTTATTCTACCACCTCTCATTCTCGTTTGATCCACATTAAACCGAGTCATAGAGTCGTGGAGCTTCTTCCAGGGGCCCTCAACATGGAGGTATGGTCCGATAGAAGGAGCTGTAGGGGCCACACCCATGGGGGCGACTGGGCATTGGATCTATCGAGGGACTCAAAGTGGGATTTTATGACTTTCGCCTTTGGGAGGGTGACGGTGATGTTGGTGTCCGTGCCCAATCGAAGGTCCCTGACGACAATAGAGGTCTGGAGGGTTTTGGAGTGGTCGTGAGAGGAGAGGAGGCGGTGGGATCTAAGCGGTGGCGGCAGAAGGGAAAGAAAGGACGGCGGAGTAGGAGCGGAGTCGAATGGAGAAGATTTCCAAGATGTCGCAGTGCCTTTAGTGAATGAAGCGTGTGTGTGTCAGAGAGAGAATGTCGCGGTGCCTCCAGTGAGTGAAATGTGTGTGTCAGTTAGAGAGGTGTTAGAAAATATTCAATACTCTTTATTAGTGTATAATTTTGACTCTTTTTATGCGTTCGATTATCGTATCTTATGACTATTATGATGCATTCTTATTTCTTTCGCATACAACCGTTCTCACTAAAATTTAAGAGGTAGATCAAATGGGTCTCTATTCTTAAAATGAGAATGTGAGGCTCAATACAACAAATAAATAGACAACTATATTTGCGGTCAAGATTTAATCTTTTATTCTTTTTTTAATTATTGATTTCACCATTGACGGTCGTCTTTGACCATTGACTTTCGACGTTGACTGCTGGTGTTGACCGTTGGCTGTAGTATAAACATTTATATATATATATATATATATAATAATAAACAATAATAATTTCAATATTTTTAAGATAATTATTAGGTTAGGATCCTCAAATTTATAAAAACTACATTATTCATTTCATTTTATGCAATTACTTTAGTGATGAAGTTGAATACTTTTATAATTTTTCTTTTTACTGATGACATTTTTTTTAAAATACGATACATATGTGCATGTGCACATGATCGATTACTAGTTATGAATAAATTAAATAGGCATTGTGTATGAAGTAAATGTGCACTAAAATATATGCAATTGTTATGAACTACGTATGCATTATGTATGAACTACATATCCATTTTTGTATGAACAAAATGCGGGATCATAATATGTAATAAATATCAACTAAGTATATCTTGTTTTTGAACTAAATATTCACTATTTGTGAACTAAATATGCATTTTATATGAAGTAAATGTGTTGTCAAAATACGCAATGGAGAAATCCTGGTGGCTTTGCAACTAACTATAGACTATGTATGAACTTAATATGTACTATGTACACCTGAATATACATAATGAATAAACCAAATATGCATTATGTATTACATTAATTATATAATAAAAAATAATTATTATAATAAATTAATTATATAATTAGGCTCTAACTAAACGAATGCTCGCAGGGTGGAGTGAACGGTTTTGCCCGCATCCAGGAAGAAGAAAAGTCTGAGAAGAGGCTATCCTCGGAAGCCATCCCGGCGTGGACCGAATGTATGCCCTGATGAGTCGTCTAGGTTTTCAGATGCTCGACTATAAAGGTACAAACGAAGCGAAGTAAAGTTCCAAGACAAGGGAGGCGATCCGATCGTCAATCTTCCAAAGTCAACCATACTTTTGGAGGGCAGAGTTGACGTCCTTTTTTTTGTTTCACTTTCAATTTATTTCGCTGCGATTAATTATATTAATTCATTATATAATAAAATTATGTCATTATTAATTTTCTTTTTTTGGTCATAAGAAGATTCTTACGATATCGCATAATCTGAGACTATTTACAATTTATGATATTACAATATGACATAATTTAAGGTAAAATATTTTTATATTACCAAAATATATAGGTAATATTGTTCATAGTTTTCCACGCTATGAACAATTTCCATATATTGTATAAATAAAAAATAAAATAAAATAAAAATATATATTAAAGACGGGAAAAAAAGGTTAGTCTTGTGCTCCACGTATTACTATTAGGCACCCCACAGGGACTATAAAATACAGCTCTGAATCCGCCCAAATCTCATCAAACTATCAATGGCGCCATCATCCCCAGTTTCTCTCGTCGGACCGCCGGAAATCCACCGGGCCACCGCCTCCTCCGCCACCGGCTCGAGGGATCCCTTCGTGGATCTCCTGGTGGCGAACTTCAACGGCGCGGCTGCTGTCGGCAAAAACCCCCCGATGGGCCTGACCGAGAACTCCTCGCCGACCTTCCTATCGACGGGCAACGCCTGCCTCGATTTCTTCTTCCACGTCGTCCCCAACACGCCGCCGGATTCCGTCGCCCATCGCCTGAATCTCGCGTGGGAGCAGGACCCGCTCAAGGCCCTTAAGCTCATCTGCAACCTCCGTGGGGTTCGCGGCACCGGGAAATCCGACAGGGAGGGCGGATACACGGCGGCGCTGTGGCTGCACGAGAACCACCCGAAAACCCTAGCGCGCAACATCGACTCGTTCGCCAATTTCGGGTACTCGAAGGATCTGCTCGAGATCCTGTTCCGCGTTCTGGAAGGCCCCGACGCCCGTGACCTGGAAAAGGCGGCGTACGAGGTGTGGAAGCAGAAGAACGAGATAATGGAGATGGGGACGATGAAAACAGAATTGAAGAAGGTGTACGGCCGAGCCTTTTTCGGCCGCAGGAGCGTGAAATCAAAGAGGGGCGATAAACCTAAAAGTATAATTTCAGCGAAATTGAGCCGAGAGGAGAAGAGAATCGCGCGCGCGAGAAGAGCCATCGAGAGGTTCGACCTCGACCCGGACTTCAAACGCCTGCACGATTCAATTTCCGACTATTTCGCCCGTTGCCTGAGGTCAGACATGGAGATGCTGAACTCTGGTCGGCTCAACAAAATCAGCCTCGCCGCAAAATGGTGCCCTTCTCTTGACTCGTCTTACGATCGAATCACTCTTTTATGCGAGACGATTGCGAAGAAGGTTTTCCCAATAGACGAGTATGCAGAGTACGAAGGAATCGAGGAGGCTCATTACGCGTATCGTGTGAGGGATCGTTTGAGAAAGCAGGTTCTCGTGCCCCTCCGTAAAGCCCTCGAGCTTCCCGAGGTTTACATTGGGGCAAATGACTGGGGATCCCTCCAGTACAATCGTGTGGCTTCTGTTGCAATGAAAACGTACAAGCGCTTGTTTATCAAGCACGATTCAGAAAGGTTCAAGGAGTATCTGAACAGGGTTGGGAAATCCGAAGCTAAAATCGCGGCAGGTGCATTGCTTCCGCACCAGATAATCTCCGCGCTGTATTGTGAGGATGATGATGAGGTGGCGGTGGCGGAGCTTCAGTGGCGGAGGATGGTGGATGACATGGCGAAGATTGGGAAGCTGAGAAACTGCCTGGCGATTTGCGATGTGTCGGGTAGTATGGCAGGGGAGCCGATTTTGGTGTCGATAGCGCTCGGGATTTTGGTGTCTGAGCTTAGTGAGGAGCCGTGGAAGGGGAAGGTCATCACTTTCAGCGAGAAACCCGAGCTTCATGAAGTGAAGGGGGAAAGGTTGAAGGAGAAGACTGAGTTTGTGAGGAGGATGGATTGGATGATGAACACCGACTTCCAGAAGGTTTTCGATTTGCTGCTTGCGGTGGCTGTGGAAGGGAAGCTGAAGCCGGAGGATATGATTAAGAGGCTGTTTGTTTTCAGTGATATGGAGTTTGACCAGGCGTCACTGAATCCGTGGGAGACTGATTACCAAGCGATTGTGAGGAAGTTTGGGGAGAAGGGTTATGGTGATTGTGTGCCGGAGATTGTGTTTTGGAATCTGAGGGAGTCACGGGCTATGCCAGTGGAGGCGGGCCAGCAGGGGGTGGCGCTGGTGAGCGGGTTCTCTAAGAATCTGATGAAGTTGTTTTTGGAGGAAGGTGGGATTATGAATCCTGTGGCTGTTATGGATGCTGCTGTTTCAGGGAAGGAGTATCAGAAGCTTGTTGTGGTGGACTGATTAGATTCATTCAATGGGCTGTTACTGTATGTATGGCCTATCTTTTTGCCTTAGTTTTCTTGATTGTTATAGACTTATAGTAAATGGTTAAGGATGTGAATATGAGGAAAGAAGTTGGCAAGTAATTTTTACCTAAGAAGATCTAGTTTTACATAATTCTAACCCATTGAATTTTGTTACCTTTTTACATGTATGATATGTTTTGTTTGTTTGTTTGTTTTTTTATTTAATTTTTTTTTTGGAACTTTTGTAAAAATAAGTCATTGAAGATAAAACTGCATCAATCGCAACGTTTGTGTAAAACTAAAAACCATGCAATTTAGAAAGCAATGACAAAAATGGGCTGCTTCAGCCTTCCGATGTGTGAGTCGAAGAAAAAATGGGTAACAGAAAAACTTTCAGATTGGAATAATGCCGTCAATGGTAGAGGAATGAAGAATAATAGAGAAGATTTGGAGGTGGCATGGGGTTTGTAGGATCTTCTGACAGAGAGATCAGGTAGAAGTGTGAAAGGTTATAAAAGTAAAATCTTATTAAATCCGGCCAGTTATCAAGTAAAGAAAAACCTTCTTATTAATTATCTTTATTAAAAAATGAAAGAGAAATATACGTAAATCTCGGATATATACAAATATTTTTATCTATTTTTGTATGTATGCTAATAAAATATTTATTAGTGTATATGCAATATTTAATGTTTTAATTGGTTCGACGGTAATTTTCTCTCATTCTTTCTTAAATAAATAAACTAAACTCATATTATTAGAAAATTCGTAAGATTTATATTTATCAATAGTTCTAAAATAATATTGATGCAGAAGTTTTTAATATTATTATTATTAATATTTCATATTTATTATTATTATTATTATTATGAACCATCAATGATTGGTGAACCGGCAGACCCATTTGCAACACCCCTGGAAATATTACCTGAATGGTATTTCTTTCCCGTATTTCAAATACTTCGTACAGTGCCCAATAAATTATTGGGTGTTATATTTATTAGCTTTGGCTTGTTGGACAAGTTAGTCTTAGGGTTTTGAGAACTTTATTTAAACGACTCATCTTCTTTGATGTTCTTGGTTGATTTTGAATAAGAATATACAGTTTATCGAAAGCTTTCTCTTCTTTTTATTCTCAATCGTCTACCATGCTACATAAGCTATTATCAGAAGTCAGCACAATTCACAATGTCGCCGCAACGACAAGATGCAATCAACCGGCGTGACACCGCCATCAACGATCGGTTTTAGATGGATAACTGATTTCAACAGATGGACGATCGATTCGCAGACATGTCAACGGGTATCGAGGAATTGCGTCTTACTATCCGTACCATGGTGGAGGGTACGCATATGTACCACGACGGCAGTGACCGGGGCGTGCATGGGGGATTCCGCAGCGGACGTGGAGGATGTGGCATAGGTCGGGCGCGCCACCGGCGTTCGTCACAATCGCTGCCCGGCGACGACGAGGGCGAGGAGACCGTTTCAGACGTCAATCCTTTCAGCGACCGGCAGGCGCGCCGTGAAGCTGAGGGCTTCGACGAGGACGACCTTCGCGACAGGCGACGTTTGGCCCCAGGTTACGTGGATTTTGAGGAGCAGTTGCGTCGTGAGCCTCGATGTGCGATTGAGGGCTTTGGTGAGTAGCGATGCGAGACAGGTTTCCGGGTGGAGCATCTTGTCGGCGACGCGGATGGTTTCTACGACGGTCTTTCGATTTTCGATGAGGAGATATTTTCTCACTCTCTCTTTCATTTAATTAAAGTCTAGATACTATTTTATTAAGTATGGTAAGTATATATATTACTCCCTCCATTCTGAAATATAAGGCGTGTAAGGAATTCAAACAAATATTAAGGAGACATTAATTAATGAGTAAATTGACTAAATTAACCTTATTTACTCCAATCACAACTACTCCACACTTCATTAATTTCAACAAAATGAGGGTATATTTGGAAAAAAATGAAGAATTTGTCTTGGTTTTTGAGTGCGCCTTACATTTCAAAAAATTTGAGAAATTCTTATACGCCTTATATTTCAAAATGGAGGGAGTAGTATCTAATAGACTTTATATATGTAGCCTTTATTACTATGATCGTTGTTTTGTTTATTTGTAGGGAGATCACTAGACGTGTTCAAAGGCCGGGCCGATTCACGACCCGGTCCGGCCCGTCGGGTCGACGGGCCTCAAATGATGGGCCCAGAACCGGCCCGGCTATACATGTTTGAACTAGCCTGACTCGACGGTTCATTGAACCGCCGGCTTTTTTTCTTAAAAAAAAAAAAAACAACTACGACCCGTTAGAAGATCCGGAACTAGCCCGGCCCGGCGGGTCAAAAAGGCAAAAAAAATCGACCCTGAACCGGCCTTAAAGGCTAAGGGTACGGTTCGAAAATCGTTATATCCGTTGGGCTGGTTTGACCGTTGGCCATGTCTAGAGATCACGTGTTTGGTGTTTTAGGAAAGAGAGAAGTTGGTAAAATAAGATAATATATGAATATCTGAACTAGAAGATAGGAAGATCTCGTCCAAGACTTGATGTAATATAAGGAAGGAAATCGACTCCAAAACAAAAAAGAGAAAAATTAAAAGACTACTTATCTTGAGGAGTTAATTTCCACACGAATACTCAATTGAGACTGCTGAAATTATTAAGTTTAATACATTCTAGGCTTCATTGAGTATTCGTGAGCATTTTTATTTTCTTTTATTCATTCGATTAAGTTTATCAGTGTTCTGAACCTGAAGAACTGAGTTTGTTTTTCTTTTTACAAACACTTATTGTGCTTGTGAAGTCCACGTGTGTGGTCAGATGATTAGTTAATAGAGTTGGATATAATGTTAGTTAGATTAAAAGGGAGTCTTAGTTGTGCTAGTCCAAGTTGTATTTTGTGCACGCAAACGATCGATATATTAATGAAATAGTTTTGAGGGATAGTGAGATACTTTCCGAAGAGATTTTTATCTTTAATTGCTTCTGTTTTTAATTTCGGTGTTCGAACACAAATCATATACTCTATTTTTCTCTCTGACATAAGTTTCAAAATCATCAAATTTCAATAAGAAGTTCTAATGACAATGTATTTCCTACCGCTTTCTAATGGTAATTCTAGTGTTATAACTTTCAAAAATCTAAATTAATATTGTCTATTCTAATAGAAATTTTTACAACATTAAATCATTGGAAAAAAAATCATTAGTTTTCATATTGTAAGGAAAACTTAATTCCAAAGGGGATTATAGTGTTGATATCTATTTGAATATCCCAGCAGAATATTTATATATAGGAATTTGTATTGCAATATTTTTTTATAGGGAATTTTAATATTTTTTTTAGTGAGAGGTTGGTTAAGTTTTCCCTTAAATATGTGATCACTACAAAGAAGAAAGAGTTGGAGAATTTATAGGATCAACTAATAAAGTCTTGTCTAAGTTGGTCATGAAAAACCACAATAATTATTCCAGCTAATGCATACAAATTTAATGAGCCATTCCATACCACCAGTTAGATCTAATCATTTAGTTACAGAAATTATTTAAAAAGTATGGTTATTGAGTCTCGGGTCAACATATTATTATGATGGCACAGCTTAGTCAAAGTCAATATAGCTTTCAAATTACAATTGAACAATGAGTATAAAGAGCACAAATTTTTATTTAAAAAAAATCATGAGATCATACAATTAATAATTGACTTATTACCCAAAATTCTACGTTATTTTTGACCTTAGAATAAGTGGAGCAAAAAGAAGATATAAGAGCCAAAAATAAAATAAAATAATAATAATAATTGTGATAGAAACTTCATGAAAAGGCAAATGACCAAAAAAGGAGCAAAAGGAGACGAGAAAGCATAGAAATGCTTTAGTTTGTACATTTGGTCAGTGGCTTTATCTTTTGGCACATAAACATTTCCCTTTTTTCCTATTTTTTGTTTTTTTTCTAAAGGCCATACTGCAAATTTTGGGTTGCTTGCAAAACTGATATACATTTTTTATGTCCCTTTTAATTTTGTGACCAATAATTTTAAAGTTCATCAACACTTCAAACATTACACTAGTGAAATTGGTATGTGAGTTTGCAAGAAAGATTGTGTTGTCTAAGAACCAGACTAATTGTCAACTCTTACTGTGGTAATTGGCGGTTTTTCCAAAAAAAAATAAAATAATAATAATAAAAAAAATGTCATGTCTGCAGTTAGAAGTAAAAAGGTCGAAAATTTTGTCACATCCATATAAAAAGGTGAACAAACTTGTTTTTATGAGAAGTTGAATAATTGTTATATTGTGAAAGAGTATATATGTGAGATAATAAGAAGTAATGAGTAGAATTGGTGTAATATAAAATTATTAAAATATTATATAATACTTGTATATTGATAATCATTATTATGTGAGTGTGTGAATATTTTTTTTTTTATTAGAAATCTATTAGCTTGTTTGAAAACACTTATCTAATAGATTCTTTGGGATTCAAAAGTTCATTTGAATTACTAATTTATGTTTTGGTGCTAAATCAAAAATGGAGTTATAGTCCTTTTTGTTTAACCTTACGCAGAATAAATCGCTTAATCCCAACAACGTTCATATCGAATAATCGAGAATCAAATATAATAGCGGAAACTGTACCTGATCGATTCATATTGATTGATTGCGCTGGACTTGATTTGGATATTGGGGTTTTGAGTTCTTACAAAAGGCCGTAAATCATTATTCTCTCCTCCTGACGTATAAAGAAAACCCATGGAGAGAGTGTAATGGGCAGTACATTTTTTATTCTTTTCTTCTTACGTAAAGTGTATAAAACACGTAATGAAGAATTAATTTGTATCATAACTTAATGAAAAATTAATTTGAGAAAATTGCACCCCCTACATCAGCATCACTAATATATTATAAATTTACAACTATTAGTTAAATATTTATGTAATTACTAAACTAAACATAAATTATTGCTAATATACCTAAAATTATAATTAGGCAGTTATATCAGATAATTAAGGAGATTTTACCTAAAATTAAGGAAATTAAATTCACAACAAAAAACCGCTGCACTCACGTCCCTCCTCTCACGCGATCCTCGGAAAACCAAATCTCCTTCAGAAAGAAAAAACTCCTCCGTCAATGGCATCACCACCTCACCGTCCGCGCCAATAGCATCAATCGAAGTAGTCGACTCCTCCGATCCCCCTTCCAAGACGAATAGCATCAATCGAACCCGTCGTTTCGACTGAATCAGTCGACTCCTCCAATCCCCCTTCACACAAGTCAGCCACCTCCTCCAATCCCCCTTCTGCCTCCGTCTCGCTCAAGCACCGTCTCGCTCAAACATCCGCGACGAGAGATGCATCTCGCTCAAATTTGCACTTGTGATTCGTCGATGGGGTACTCTTCAAGATCGTCTTGGCTTTTCGAGGCCGTCGTGTTGGTCTCCACGCTCTGCGCCTTCTTCCTTTTCTGCTGCTGCCATTTCTAATATATATTTTTAATTTATTTTTTCTGAGTATATATGCAATATATATGCAGTATATGTACAGTATATGACCCGCGTCCCTGCCAAAAAATAAGCTTATGTTTAGTATATTAGCAAATTTTTTTGTTGACGAATGTTTGTTTCGGTCGGATTGATTTTCTTCAGTATATTATTAGTCTTTTGGGAGGAATGAGAATTGCTTATTTGTATCATTTTGTTTGTGTTCAGTTGATTTTTTGAGTCTATACTTTGTAGTTTTTTCTTGTTTTTATTGTTCAATGAAAATTGTATGGTTTATTTCCAGTATATTTTTAGTCATGTTTCACTGTTTTCCATTTTTTTTTTCTCATGACATTAATGGGAAGACGTTCGATAGTATGTAATAGTTAAAAATTTTCGGTATATTATCAATATCTTTTCGGTATATTTTCTCATGGCATTAACAGGAAGGCGTTCGACGGTATATTATTAGTATATTCTCGGTATATTTTCTCATGACATTAACAGGAAGACGTTCGACGTGTATATGTACAGTATATTTGCAGTATATGTTAAAGCAATATATATAGGCAACGAAAATTTCGTGAAATTTCGTACTCTTTGCCCCATTTCCTGAAATTACGCGCTAGGAACATGGAAGGTTGTTCCACTTACCTTGTAACTGATTTTAGGCATGATTATAATTAATATTTATCTTTTAGGTATATACACAATTTAATTGGTATGGATGGTAATATTGCAATTATCTAAAAATCTGTAAGTATACATGAAAATTTCTCATTTAATTTCAACGGCCGTATTTATCACGATTTTTGGGACTCCATCCATTAATAATTTTGATCTAAATAATTTGTTAATTAGGTCACTTAAGTTTAACATTATTATTTATTACATCACCAAATAATAATTTTATCGGGTGTCCATATTTAATCATTCTACAATCTAAATTAAGTTCTTTAGCCAATGTACAATAATTTGATCACTTAATTTGACTAAACAATATAATTAATGACCCAAAATATCAATTACACATGTGTAATCTCAAAATAAGTATATAGTACAATTCCTGACTTCCTGTATTTTTGTAGGGGAAATTATTCAAACAGACGTCGAGTTAAGTGCGCGGCTGCGCTTATACGCAAGCATGCAACACTCATCTTTAAAATTATTTTGAAGTTTTTCCTTTTTTTTTTCTTGATAGTAGAAAAGTGACTATGATCATCATCATTTAATTTTAATATATTATCGTGTTTACTTTAGGAAAAAGGGCTGACATAATATGCTTCCTATAAATTCTCTCACCATATATATATAATACATAACGAGGCAATTATATTTATCATTTTTACTAAACCTCGAACTTAATATAATAACTTGAAAATCATCATTCTAGTAACCGATACTAACTACCAAAATCATCTCATCAAGCATCAAGGGATATATTAGTAGGTAACTCTAACACTGTTATCGTACTTTAAAAATAATATAAATAAAAGTAATTACATTTAAATTAGTAGACAACTCTAACATTAGACAATTATGCAGTATTTGCAATAAAATTTCAAACTCAAACATCGTGCTTTAAAATATAAACAAACATAACTACATTTAATTATATAAGTACTGTTTAAGGCTATTCCATACAATAATTTGTGCCATGTTTAATTATAACATCCAAACATTTGAGATATAATTACCAACCCGGTTAACCTTAATTCTGTTAACTACCACCATGATTATCATTTATTGACATGGTCTGATATTAATCATATTATTATAATGCATTAAACCACCACAAGCAGCATATCGTGAAAAAATATAAAATCATTTGCCTAATTTTTGCAGTCAAAATATTAAATATACGAATTACCAAACCTTACACGAGCATGTAATTCCATTCCCATTCCATTTCCCTTTCGAAAAGTTGGGGAACTATACTTTTTCTTAATGGAAAAGTAGTAATTTCATAACAAATTAATAAAAAAGATGTTAATTCGCCTACAGAGTTTAGTTATTTCATAAAAATGGTGACAAGAGATTTGAATTTTGATGGATACAGAATTTCTTCTTGAATCTTGAAAAAAAATTGTATCACATTGGAAATAGAGATTAAAAAATATACAAATGTATTATGTTTATGGGATTGTGAAGGAAAAAAAATGGGATGTATATGTTTTTGAATTCTTTTTATTTCCATTCACAATCAAAAAAATATATATATTTTTTACTATCTTTAGAAATTAAAAATCTTATATCCAATCACACACAATCAATCTTTC